GAGAATGGCCCTTGCTGATTTCTCACTCCCCTTTCCCTCCCCCTTGTTTCTTTTATCTGTAGCATTAATTGTAGCACAATAAATAAATGACCCACAGACAGATATTGGGGTTCAAACTTCAAGCAGAAGTTCAGAAAAGCGAAGTAGTGTGCCACTAGCTCTCACCACTGCCTCAGGCTGAGTGGGCTGATCCTGCTGCCTTTTCTCAGCACAGCTGGAGAATCCTGAGACTGAATGTCTTCCTAGCCTCAGTGTGGCTGGAGAATGAGTGCCTGAAACTGACACCTTGCTCCTGTCTTCTATACCTCCCTGATGGTGGGGTTAAAGGCATGTGATCCCAGCTGCTGAGATCATCTTTGTGTGAGTTGTTTCTCTTTAGAACTGGATCAATCTTGTATAGATATGAGTGGCCTTGGACTAATAGAGATCCTTTTAATCCCGAATCCTAGGATTAAAGGTGTGTACCACCACCTCCTAGCTTCTGGCTGCTGGGATTAAAGGTATGTGCCTGGCCTCTATGGTTTGTGGCTGACTTTGCTTTCTGAATCCCTAGGCAAGCTTTAATAAATCATAAATAATATGTCACCACAACCAGTCAAATTTATTCTTGCATATTTTATATGTTTACTTGCTTGTTACCTGAGTCTTCTAATGTTGAGATAAGCTCCAAAGGTTCTAGCAACAGTAGTTTTCTCAGCTTGGTACAATGAAAAATTTGGTCCGTAAAAACCTTGGCCTTGTATGTTTGAAGCAGATTTTCATTTCATTGCTTAATTCAACTTTGTACAGTTAATCAACTCACGGAACTGAGTGTCATACAGCTTATTAGCGTTTCCCACATGCAACCAGATAATCTCTTATCTCCAACCCATGGAGGGAGCATTTGCAGTCCTGTTTCACAGACTGAGTAATAGCAGTATGGTGGTGACCAATGTAGTAGGTGGTTTGATGCTTTATATTGCTTTCCCATGGTGAACCGTCTTATAACAGCCACAGCTTGAAGAATAGATAGTTCCTGCTTATGCCGACAGTGACTTCCATCATGCAGGCACTTCCAAAGGTCTCTCTCTCTCTCTTTTCCTTTTTTTTTGTATTTACTTCTCCAGGAATTGAAAGGGGTAATGGAAGAATTTATGCCCAGGTCCTATCTCTGGCCCATAGTCTGAAGTGTTTAGCGTCTACTGGTAGGTGCATCTGCCATGGAAACTCACCCTAAGGGGGCAGACTCCACCAATGGGGGTTGCCAGTGGGTTGATTTCACAACTCTTCTTTTTTTTTAATCTCAGAATATCTTTTGCCTTTTTTTAAATTAACTTTGTGTGGGGAGGGTTGCACATGTACAAAAACATGTGGAGGATGGAGGGCAACTTCAGGTGTCATTCTTTATCAGCTATTCACCTTGGGTATTTTGTTTGTTTTGCTTTTTCATCTTGCTTTTTGAGACAAGCATGCTACTAAACTAGGCTGACTGGCCGTAGATCCTGTGCACCACAATGCTCTGCTTGTTATATGCATTCTGGGAATTGAACTCTGGTCTGTACAGAAGGAGTTACTGACAGATATACCCCAGCCCCACTTCCTATTTCTTGATGGAAAAATTCCAGAGCAATGCGGCTCTGTGGTTGCTATGGGACCAAGGTTCCTTTGCCTTCATCAGCAACACTACAGATACAGTTGTTTATTGTTGTTGCTGCTTTTTTTATTTTTCACCCTTTCCTTGTTTTGTTCTCCCATTCCTCACACTGTCTGGTGTCCTAGAACCCTCCTTAAGCAGGCTGCTTTTGTCTGGGGTTCTGGTTTCCTCAATCCCACATCTGGATGCTGTGCACTGTTGCTATAATTCCTTTGGATGGCTTACCTTTCCTCCTAATAACAGTCTTCTGAGTTTGTACTCTGAGCTCCAGGCTAGAGATGGGGCAACTGGAAGAATGATAGAATGGTACCTTAAGTGTCTTCTCACACAGTGCCCGCCTCCCACATGGCCTAGGTGGTCCCCACACTGTTAACTTCTTTAGGCTTCCAGATTGCCAGTGCCTGTAGATTGTGGCTATGGAAACACTGCAGGGATTTGGAGAAACTGCTTGGGAAGAAAGAGGAGTCACAAAAAGGGCAAAGTAGGAGTTCTAAATTAGACAGTCTGATCACTGGGGCCATCCATCCTCCCTATGTGCTTCGACTCTCCAAGGCATTATGGTAGTCAGCATCCTGAAATGATCAATCTTGGTGCTCCCAGGCCTACCAACTACATAGATTATTCCTCACCTTTTCCTTCTCTGTAAAGGCCAATTCTTGTCTCTTTCCTTGAAACCCAAAGAACTAAGCCAGTTTGGATAAATCACTGTTTGATTAAAGCAGCATTTTATTGTGCCCCTGCAGTGGACTGTGAAAGCATGTCTGTATCTCAATCAGGGAATTCTATTTGTCAGAGTCCCAAAGGGCTTTGGACTTGTGACAGTCTGTCATTGTGGGGTATGAGTATTGGAGAGCTCATGACTATGTATGAAGAAGAGGTCACTTTCTCCTCCTGCACTTGGCTTACGAATGAAGTCTCAGCTAGCTAGTAACTTGAAACACAGGGCAGAAGAGGCATGCACCTGTGACAGTTAGCTACACCTCCCATCTACTGTAAAGCAGATGATGTCAGCCTTTAGGGGCTAAACTTTACTTCCTCAGGACCAGGAAAGCTTTCTTTATTATCCTCTTGCACCCCATTATTCACACAATAGGTTCTTATATCCTTTTGAAACACTTTTCAAAAATACTATCATAGTGTCACTGCCTCCCTCTGGGAAAAAACCAAAAATTCCTTCAAGTGCCTTTACTAAGTTTCTTTTGTATAAAGGTAGAAGTCCTAATTATGGCCTCTGAGTAGTGTTTACTCCTACACCCATAGGCAGACCTGCCTTCTGAGAAGCCTCCCTCAATCTCTGTGCTATGGCAGCTCTATTTGTCCCTTGGAGCTAATATCTGCCTGGATCCACTCTGCTGTGGCATGCTGCCTTCTGCCCTGTCCTCCTTAAGATGGGTTGTGCTCAGGTCTGAAGCTCCTTTACCTTTCTCCCTGAGTAGCTCAGATAGATGCTTTTGTAGAAGCCCATGCCTTTGCCACAAGAGGTATGACCAAAGTGTGAAGATTTTAATATGATTCTCTCCTAATAGAATGCAGGCTTCTTGCCGGGCATTTAATAGCCTTTAAACCCAGCACTCGGGAGGCAGAGGCAGGCGGATCTCTGTGAGTTTGCGACCAGCCTGGTCTACAAGAGCTAGTTCCAGGACAGCCTCCAAAGCCACAGAAAAACCCTATCTCAAAAAACCAAAAAAAGAAAAAAGAAAAAAGAAAAAAAAAGAATGCAGGCTTCTTATTATAGAGTCCATTTCTGCCTTTTCACATTATTCTTTCATCCTTGACTTAAGCAGTGATAAGTACTTGGGAGGTCAGAATAGGGGTTAACTAAACAAAGAACACTGGATCAGGAACCATATGTGGGGTAGGGGTCAGTAGACAGGGGCAAGAATATTAGAAGCATTGCATTTAACCTTTATTCTTTCACCATTAAAGCCAACATGGTCCCATAGTTAATGATTCTTCGTTGTTCAGCCAGATTGTATGCAACAACTTTATTGAGGTCAAATAGATAACACAATACAGATTTATCCAACAGGATTTAAGAAACTGGTTACAGATAGCATTTGAGACACAGGCTATTTTGTGCTAAACTGCTTCCAACATCACAGATCACATAAAGAATTTGTACATCAGTTAAGACTATCTAGAAACACATATGCTTAGATTGCCCTGCCTGTTGGGCCTTGTTGTTTCAATTAAATTAAAATGAAACGAAGATTGGCATTTTCTTGATAATGAATATGTTCTGGACTGCCTTTCTTGAGAACCTTCTTGGGGATAGAGTGGCATTGGAGGCCATTCTTAATTTGTCAGTTATTCACAAATCCAAATAAGTAACTCTGTTAAGCTATAACATGAGACTTCTAATAATTGGATTGAGCAACATATTAGCTTTAAAAATAAACAAAATCAGATTTTTGACTAGCTATATTGTATTACAGAGCATTTTTCTTAGTACTGCTTAAACTATGGTGCCTAAAGCTGAATCTTTTGATGCTAAGAAAATGCCAGTCTACAAGCAGAGGGTCATTGTGCCTTATCACTCATGGCTCACAGGATAAGATCCACAAAATGCCATAGGAAGTTACAAGAATGTAAATATGTACTTAAGCAAATCAGATAAATATTGGGCAGTTATCATACAGAACACTATCTACAAATAGAGAAACCTCCCAGACCTTAGCTCTAATGCATTCAGAACTTGGGTAAAGCCAGAAAGACAAACTTGCAAAGTCTGCAAAGTAGTGCATACATGTCTTTAAACACCCACTTAACAAACTTATGATGCAAACTGAAAAAATCTTCAGAAATACAGTCAAATGTTTGTGGGAGAAAATATTCATGCATTAAATCATATAAATATTGTTCATCAAGTGAAAACAGTACAGAACAATTACCTAAAACATATTTGTACTCCTAAAGGGCCTAAACTAAAATATGTTAACACATGCATGTTGTGATTCACCAAATAGTCTTCTAGAAATCATTAAAATGTCTCTTGCATCAAAACACATCGGAAAACTCAACACTATTTAAGTTACTTTATGCACATTACACACTAGAGACTTTAAGCTACAGAAATGCTTCCACTATTTCAATACACATACAAAATGACCATAAAATTATCTGTATATATAACAAGGTACTTCCTAATTATCCATCTGTGATCAATAATGCATCTCCTCCTCATGACATCTCATCTCTAAGTACCATTTATCACCACCCAGGCCTTTCTGCCTTAATGAGGGCTACAGATCTCTGATTTACATTCAGCATTCTCTGCATTATTAATTGATTGAAACTTAAAAATTTCTTCTGCTACTGAAATGGAAGGTAGTGAGGCTATTGCCAGAAGAATTTGGGTGATACTGGGCTATATCTGATTGTTAAAGGAAGTGGGGCCACTGGGCTGTTGGCCAAACTCATCGGAAGATGGCCCCAAACTTGCCTGCTGGCTATAGCCACCACTTGACCCATAGCTGTCTTGGTTGTACCCGCCTTGATTATAGCTGCTAGAGTGCTTCTCCATGGGGTCAGAAAGGTATCTCTGTCCCGAGGAATGCCAGCCGGTCTCCTTGAAAACAAACCAAATGTTGCCAGCCCAGAGGATAAAGTTCAAAAACCCAAAGACCTGAAGGAGAATCAGAGCAAAAGGTTAACAGACTGGATAGAAACTCTAGAAAATCCCTTACATAGCAATTCCTCATAGTGCCATGGGTGATTCTGCACTTTAATTTTGAAGTCTGTTTACATTTTCTTACTGAACTTACTTTCAGTAACAACCACATTTTTTTTTGCAGATTTTTTATTTGAATTAGAAACAAGATTGTTTTACATGACAATCCCAGTTCCCTCTCCCTCCCCTCCTCCCCTACCCCCTCCCCACTAAAACACTTTTTTTTGCTTCCCCTGGATGGTGAGGCATTCCACAGGGTGTCATCAGAGTCTATCGTATCCTTTGGGATAGGGCCTAGGCCCACCCCCGCGTGTCTTGGCTGAGGGAGTATTCCTCTATGTGGAATGGTCTTCCAAAGTCCACACCTATGCTAAGGATAAGTACTGAACTACTACAGGAGGTCCCATAGATTTCCGAGGTTTCCTCACTGAAACCCATGTAGAACCACATTTGATTTAGGATTCCTGAACACTTTATATTTGCCAAACACTACATGAAAGGTTTTTACATGTTGATTCTCCTAGTCTAAGAAGCCAGTGTTATTATACATTAAATGTCTATACTGAAAATGTGGAAACAAAGTCCAACAAGGAAAATACTCTGGTTCAAGGGCACACTACAGATTATAAACAGTGGCAATCCACCTCTAATAGATCAGATGGACTCCAGATAAGTACTGTCAATCAACAGTTTGTTTCCTCATCTGCCTCTTCCTGAGGGGGTGGGAACTTTCCCTTTCCCTCATCTTGGGATTTTATTCCCCCAGCTAGCCAGGACCATGGACCTGGAAGTTTCACATTTATACCTTATGAAAAAAATCTTTTAACTTTACTTTCTGACCCTAATATATATCTGTTCCAGCAGGTTTCCAATCAGTTAAAGACTGCCAACTGCTCCCACGGCTGCCTGCAGGTCTCTAGCCCCAGAAGGTCCCACAAAACTTGACAGCAAGTGAAACAGTTGCCCTTCCTGGATTTGGCCAGCATTCCAACTTTGAGGTCCCCAAATGATGCTGCAATGTCAATAGGAAGTAGTCATGGACGATTTTGTCATTGTCCCTTATCATTCATTTTCAGCAAAAAGACTGGGATGTTAAGTTTCAAACCCAGGGCAAATGGCTGAGGTTTCTGTTTACCATTTCAACATATGAAAGCTGGGCCTGGCTTCCAGGTTCTCCCAGCATCCCCTAGTCCTCATCTGTTACAGGATATTGCTCACAAACTTGCCCTCAATGCTGAACCCTCTAGCCCAGGTGTTGGGTCGACCTTGAAAAATGGGTCATTACTAACTGTATAAATTCTTGCCATGATCCTGATATTTACATTGTAATCACATAGCCTCCATATGTACTTTTGCCAGTTAATCTTAGCCAACCCTAGTATGATGATCTTTATATTTATGTTGTGGAAGAAATTACTAATGCCCTTAGTAGGCATAGGCAATTTATTGCTGCTTTATTTTGAACCTTATTGTACTCAGTATTATCACAGCTGTGTGCATGACTCTGCACACAGGAATCCCATTGTCATCTCCTGATTATATCAAGAACAGAAAAGTTAGAGATTTACTAACTGTGCACACCTGACCCCAAGAATGAAGATTTCACAATCCAGATGCAGAGCCCGAGGCCATTAAGTGTTCAGTTAATAAGTATAGAGAAGTCAGAATGGTACAGTATAATGGGAGAAGAGTATGACATCAGGACCTTCCCTTTGGGGAGCATATGAGGGGAACAGGCCCATATATTGAGACTAAGACACAAAGGAACAAAATCAGGAAACAGCTCAGTGCAAACACTGAATCATGCCCCTTGAGTAATAAAAATTGTTCTTAAATTGTAGTGGAGTGTATGGTCCCCGAGAAAGTCCTTATCTCAAGGTCAGGAATATGGATAAGGGTCTCCATTTCCTTGGGGGATTGAAGAAAGTTCCTGCTTGCTAAAAGCACTCATCCTTCTTATTTCTGGCATGGGAAGCCATGAAAGTTACATCAGGTGACAGGTAGTGTACAGATGTCAACCCACCAGAGCATTCATTCTCTGATGGAGGTAAATCCTGTCCCAGCAAGGCCTACAGGACCATTGACTCTGTAAACTGTTGCTCACTTTTGCTAAAGTAGCTTTGTGTCTTCTCAATACCTGCACTGTAGTGTATCATCTCAAGTGATGTGTTTATGTAATCCCATGATTGCATCTCAACCTTAGGGGCACATGTATCTGTGAGTGGTCAAGATTACTTTTCATTTTGCTATGTAATTTTAACATATAGAATATATACTCGGACATGCTTCATAACTGGATCTATTGTCCCACGAGGATTGTGGACACTTAAAAGCCTGCTTTGTTCCTTTTGTTCAGACTAACTGCACATAATTAATTTACTTTTACCTCAGAGAAAGTTCAAACTCGACTAAAGGCTTTTGTAAATAGATCATCATTTTAAAACTTTACAATTACACACAGGGTTAGAGTTACTGGTGTCTAACCAAGATTACTATACAAAATACCCTAAGAAAAGTATTTCAATTCTTTGCTTGCCAAGTCTAGCTGACAAAAGACCTATGTCTCAAAGTTTGTCACTGGGCACTGTGCCACCAGGCTCTGATCAGAGCATTTCTTCTGTATCCTTGAAACTTTGCCATGGTAAAGGGCTCTGCCCTTATCATTCACCCAAAGGAATGTGCTTTTGACCAATGAGATATAACTCTGGGTAATGTGGTCCTTAATCAGCATTTTCCACAGATTGGGCAGCATGCTAAGTGTTTTTTCCATGCATTATCTTCTCTCAGCAGTCTCAGAGTCTGCTGCCTCTTGCATAATTGTCTACAGTTTTCTGATGGTGGCATGGAGATTTGATGGTGGCATGAGCTGGTTTGTTGTTCGTAAAGGATTTACTACACTGTCACCTAGTGGAACCAGACCCCTCCTTGGAGACTATTCCAGCAGTGTGCCTTCAGCTCTTTTGAGTACTAACAGTATTAGGAGAGTTTGGCTTCAGTTCTACCATTAGTGTAGTTAAATCCAGAAACCTTTTCCAGGATCTTTAAAATCATCTTCCAGCATCTGTAATGTCCTGATACCTCACCTTATTTTAGGGCTACTGTGAAGTTACAATGGCAAAGAAAATAATTTTATTACCACAGTAGAAAATATTTATTGTTTCTTGACCAATTTCTTTGCAGAGATCACAGAGCATAGTATGTGTAGGGCATGGTTCCTTCTTCAGAACTTGCACTTGACCAGCAGGGTGAGTTCTGTGAGCCATGTTTTGAATATACAATTCCTAAAGCCTATAGTTATAGTTGATGAGACTGAGAAGGATACCTGTCCCTGAAAGGGCCAATGGGATGCTCTCAACCAGACATTCAGACATTTGTAACGGGATCTGAGTGATATCAGTTCAGTCTAAGTGCCCCTCCCTTAACAACACTTATTTATTATTTCTCTGAGTGTGTGTGTGTGTGTGTGTGTGTGTGTGTGTGTGTTTGTGCATGCATGTGGAAGTCAGATGACAACTTTGTGGAGTCTGTTCTCTTCATCCTTTTTTCGAATTCTGGGGATAAGGTTACCAAACTTGGTCAGTGAGCACCTGTACCCACTGAGCCTTTGGGTTGGCCAAAGCTGTTTCTTTGAAAGGAAAGACACAATTAGAAACTGAAGGTACCTACCTTCTCCCATATGTTCAAGAAAAAATTAAAATTCTATTTAGAAAAGGAATTTAATATAACAGTGTCTTTCAACAGGTGCACACCCAAGGGTAAGTGGTAGAGAATGGGAAAGATACAGTCTCTGGACTATCTTCCAGCTTACAGCCATAGACTCTACTCTAGGGGAACACTTCTAGTTTTTCTCATTATTTTTGGGTTTCGCTGCCTGAAACACAATTTTAAATCAAAAACCTGAGTTGACTGATTAATATCCTTCCTCCTGTGATAGTAATACACAATTCATTTCCTTGCAGTGTGAAGTTTTAGTCCAATAGCTTGAGGTCTGCCCTGGAACTTTTCTACTGAAGGAGAAAAATGGGAGGGTAGGTAAAATTTCCACTACTCAGCAACTCAGAGAGACAGTATTTTAGTTTTCTGACATCAGGAGTTGAGGACCTGCTCTAGCTTCTTCCACTCTCATGTCTTCAGATCTCAGCAGGTTCATGGTATGTTTCCAGAAACTATCATTTTAATGAAAAAATTGGGATCAGCTTCTATTTACAATGTAGACATCTGAATGAGTACAGACACTAGTTCCAGACAAGGGTCTAAAGAATACTGTAAACTTTGCTTTAATCTATCTGAACAAGCTGTTCTATTAGAACCACCAAAGCCTTGGCTGTCAGGGACACAATGACAACCCTGCAGGCCTTTCCTTCCATATGTTCACATTATTGTTAGGGTTAGGAGAACACATTATTCCTCATCTCTAAGTCCTACCTTCTAGTCTAAACTTTATTAGAACATTAGTGGAATGACAAGGCCAGGTGGGATGTCATAAGTTACTTGGGACATGCATTACCAAGCTAGCAGTTGACAAATATCATTTACTTGATTTGTTAAACATGTCAAGCAATTTTTATTTTCTTAGATTTTGAGATGAGAGTCATAATTATGTCTTTGGCACTGCCTACAAATAAGCTACAGAAATCACTATATATGTTAATGCATACTCACAAGTTGCCACTCACAAGTGTGGCCAGCAATATGTAAGAATGTTTGTGAGATCCAGGGCATAGTGGATTTCCATGGTTGCTATTTCACCAAGACAAGATTTATAGAGAAATCAGGAGGAGTGGAACAACCTTTGCCCTCTTTGTAGCCCCTTTCCCTGACTGAATGTCAGAAAGCCTCAGGGACACAGGTTAATGTTGCAGCCAAGATAACTATACTTCACTTTTGCTGGATGGTGTACTTTTAATGAACACAGCTGAGACTCCCACTCCTCAGTAAATGTTTCTTTTTGTCAACATCCTAGCTCTTTATCAGATGCAGCTTCCTCCTGTGGAGTAGCACAATTGCTTACATGTATAAATTAGAAATACAATTTAGCCTCTCTCCAACTGTTGGCATTCATACTTTCCTGTAAGGCCTATATTCTTGATGACAATATTTGATTTTGTTCAGCCAATTTAGCACATATTTTCTAAGGCTATCGAAGAGCTATACTGAAGAAGGGAGAAGATACAGGATTATTCTAAGTCCTTTTTCAAGCCATGCATTTCCTCTTGCTCCCTACTAAGTCTGCATATTTTTCTCCAACCAATTTGGTATATTCCATGTGTGGCTTTAATAAAATGTTCTCTTCCAGGAAACATGAGTTAACAAATATTCTTTTTAACTTCTGGCAGGCTTCAGCCTTAACATTTAGGCTTTATATCAGCTTTAGCTTAGAATTTTCACTTGACTGTCATCTTAGCCACAGCTGCTAATACCTGCTGGGTTTTTATTAAAAACTGTAATCAGAAACATTACAGTGTGTTGGTTTTGACATTGAAAATCTTGGAGGCTGAAATATCATCTTACCAGTCAGTGAGACTTCCCTCTTTTGATTGGCCTAGTTTTAAAGGCAGAAATGTATACAGTAGCTTTGGGGTGTTTTTCTTAATCACTGACCATCAATTAAGATTTGGGAAGTCAAGCCTGGATGAACAAATACTCACCACGGATGTGTTTAAGCTGGACATGACAGGGCTGTGGACAGCCAAGCATTTGTTGTAGGACTGCTTGCAAGCTGACATCAGTAACAAGACTTCATTTGGATCAGTTGCCACTTTGACATCAGACAGTCCTTTTGCCCAAGCAGAGGAACCAACCAACCACAAGAATGAAAAGACGACAGTGACGATAAAATCCTGCACAGAGAGAAGACAGGAAAAAAAAAAAAACAACAAACAAACAGCAAACAAACAGATGTGAGTTCCAGAAGCAAATCTATTAATTTATGCAAATACCATTTGGTTTTTTGAAAATTCTAAGATCCACAACATTAGGACCTAGAGATACTGTAAAATAAATAAAGTTTGTTGATGTTGTATTTATACTTACATGAGATAAATAATTAAACTGTTATTTAGTTTTGTTTATTGAAACAGGTTCTCTCTTTGTAGTCCTGGCTGGCCATTATGCACAGTATGCCGGCATGGAACTCTCAGAGATCTTCCAAACTCTGCCTCTCCAGTGATGGGATTTAAAGCAAGCACAACCACACCCAGCTATACTGTTATTTATCAAAAAACCTGTTGTGTTTTTATTCTCAGGAATGACTCAAGAACATTATAATCCTTATCTTATTATTCCCAAAGTGTCCCTATTTGCATTTGGCAAAATAAGTCAGAGTGGTGTGTCTGAGACTACATGTAAAGACATCATTCTAACCACTGACTCCAAGTTCTTTTTTAAAAAAATTTATTTATTTTTTAATTTAAATAAAAACCAATATTATTTTACACACCAATTCCAGTTCCCTCTCTCTCCTGTCCTCCCACCCCCTCACCATTTCCTCATCCCCACCCCCCCATCCACTTCTCAGAGAGGGTGAGACCTTCCATGGGGGAATCATCAAAGTCTGTCACATTTGGGGCAGGATGGAGCCTCCATCCCACCCCCAGGTATCTGAGAGAATATCCCTCCATAGACAATGGGCTCAAAAATGTCAGTTCATGCACTAGGGATAAATACTGGTTCCACTGCCAGTGATCCTAAAGACCCGCCAAGCCCCACAACTGACACCAATATTCAGGGGGCCCAGTTCGGTCTTATGTAGGTTCCCCAGCTGTCTGTCTGGAGTCCCTGAGCTCCCACATGCTCAGGTCAGCTATTTATGTGAGTTTCCCCAACATGGTCTTGACCCCTTTGCTCATCACTCCTCTATCTCTACAACTGGACTCCAGGAGTATGGCTCAGTGCTTAGCTGCTTCTGTTTCCATCAGCTACTGGATAAAAGCTCAATGATGGCATTTAAGGTAGTCATCAATCTCATTATAGGAGAAGGGCATTTAAAGTACCCTTTTCACTATTACTTAGATTCTTAGTTGGGGTGATCCCTGCGCACTCATTCCACAGGGACATTTGTTCAACTATGTTCATAGCATCATTATTTGTAATAACCAGAACCTGGAAACAACCTAGATGCCCCTCAACCTAAGAATGGATAAAGACAATAAGGTGTATTTACACAACGGAGTACTACTCAGCAGTAAGAAATAATGACATCTTGAAATTTGCAGGCAAATGGATGGAACTGAGTGAGGTAACCCAGACAGAAAAAGACAAATATGGTTGCTGTTTCTTTTCTCCCTTGGGGCATGGTGTATTTTGCTTGTAGTGTCATGCACTAAGGTGTACCTATGTGACTTTTCATCAAGAACTGGGGAAGCCATAACTCTCTAAGTGATACTGTTTGTATCTAGTGTTGGTTAGGTGTGACATTTTGGAGAACATTCTCAAGCTAAGATTGGCTAAACCTTTGAAGCATCTATCCTTTTAATCCAGTGGCTGTTTTGAGTTATGTAGCTCCATAATATTTAGGGCCAAATGTGATCCATTCAGGGGACTTCTAGGGCATGGGGTATTCCCTACTCCTGTCTTCTACACCCATACTTCTTCCTTATTTCTTTCATATGTCTTTTTCTTTTTAAATTTGTTTTTTATTTAAATTAGATTCAAGCTTGCTTCACATGTCAATCCCAGCTTCCCCTCCCTCTCCTCCCCCAGCCTCCACCAGTCCTCCCAACCCCCACCCCATCTCCCTTCTGCTTCCCTGGGAGGGTGAGGTCCTTCATGGGGGATCTCTAAAGTCTGTCATATCACCAGGGCAGGGCCTAGGCCCTCCCCCATCTGTCCAGGCTGAGAGAGCATACTTCCATGTGGCATGTGCTCCAAAAGTCCATTCCTATGCCAGGGATAAATACTGATCTACTACCCAAGGCCCCATAGATTGCCGAGGCTTCCTCACTGACACTCACGTTCAGGGGGTCTGGATAAGTTCCATGCTGGCCTCTCAGCTGTCAGTCTGGGATCCATGAGCTCCCCCTTGTTCAAGTCAGCTATTTCTGTGGGTTTCTTCAGCCTGGTCTTGACCCCTTTGCTCATCATTCCTCCCTCTCTGCAACTTTGCAATCGCTATCAAAATCCCAGCACAATTCTTCACAGAACTTGAAAGGATAATTCTCAGCTTTATATGGAAAACCAAAAGACCTGGGATAGCCATAACAACCCTATACAGGAACTTCTTGGAGGCATCACCATTCCTGACTTCAAGTTCTGCCATAGAGCTATAGTCCTGAAAACATCTTGGTATTGGTACAAAAATAGACAGGTAGGCCAATGAAATCAAATTCAAGACCCTGATATTAACTCACATACCTATGAACACCTGATCTTTGACAAAGAAGCTAAAATTATACAGTGGAAAAAACAAAGCATCTTCAACAATGGTGCTGGCATAACTGGATTCTGGCATGTAGAAGACTGCAGATAGATCCATATCTATCACCACGCACAAAACTTAAGTCCAAATGGATCAAAGACCTTAATATAAATCCTGCCACTCTGACCCTCTTAGAAGGGAAGGTGTGAATTACCATTGAACAAATTGATACTGGATACTGCTTCCTGAACATAACACCAGTAGCACAGACACTGAGATCGACAATTAATAAATGGGACCTCCTGAAACTGAGAAGCTTCTGTAAGACAAAGTACACAGTCAACAAGACAAAATGGCAGCTCACGGAATGGGAAAAGATATACACCAACCCCACATCTGACAGAGGGCTGATCTCCAAAATTTACAAGGAACTCAAGAAGTTAGTCTCCAAAACACCAAATAATCCAATTAAAAAGTGGGGTACAGATCTAAACAGAGAATTCTCAATATAGGGATCTAAAATGGTTCAAAAGTCATATAAGAAAATGCTCAACATACTTAGTCATCAGGGAAATGCAAATCAAAACAACTCTGAGATACCATCTTACACCTGTCAGAATGGCTAAAATCAAAAACACGAATGACAGTTTATTCTGGAGAGGATTGTAGAAAGGGGATCACTCCTCCATTGCTGGTGGAAGTGCCATCTTGTGCAGCCACTTTGGAAATCTGGTGACTCCTCAGGAAAATGGGAATCAGTCTACCACAAGATCCAGCAATTCCACTCTTAGGTATACACCCAAAAGATGCACATTTATACAACAAGGGCATCTGTCCAACTATGTTCATAGCAGCATTATTTGTAATAACCAGAACCTGGAAGCAACCTAGATGTCCCTCAACTGAAGAATGAATGGATAGAGAAAATGTGGTACATTTGCACAGTGGATTACTACTCAGCGGAAAAAACAATGGAATCTGAAATTCATGGGAAAATGTATGGCACTAGAAGAAACCATCCTGAGTGATGTAACCCAGTTACAAAAAGACAAAAATGCTATGTACTCACTCATATATGGATTTTAGTCATGGAGCAGGGGATTGCTAGCCTACAATCCCACTGCCAGAGAGTATGGGAAACAAGGAGAACCCTAAGAGAGATATGCATAGTACCCCTGGAGAAGGGGAGTGGGACAGGATCTCTTGAGTGGATTGGGAGCATGGGGGAGGGAAACGAGAGCTAGGAAAAAGAGAGGGAGAGAAGAGGAGGGGAGAGGAGGTCATGGGGAGCAGAAGGTTGAGTTGGGGGAAGAATAGAGGAGAGCAGGATGAGAGATACCGTAATAGATGGAGCCATTATAGGTTTGAGGAGAGATCTGGCACTAGTGAGATTTCCAGAGTTTTACAAGAATGACACCAACTGGAAATTAAAGCAATAGTGGAGAGGCTACCTTAAATGCCTTTCCCCGATAATGAGATTGATGAATACCTTATATGCCATCCTAGAGCCTTCATCCAGTGGCTGATGGAAGCAGAGGCAGACACCCACAACTAAACCCTGAACTGAACTCCATATCTTTTTCATTTTGAGTTTTATATACCCTTGTAAGCTGTCTGAATTCATTTCTGAAAAAATGTAGAGGTTTAAAGTGCAAGCATACAAATACAACATCTACAGCTTTTTCACCATTAGTAAGACAATTCACACCTAGTGATTGGGTATAATCCAAGTATGTCAAATCTCAACTTTCTGTTCATGTCCAATCTGGCACCTTAGTTCATTCTTCATTATTCAGGCAGTATGAACTTACACTTATATATTTATACATCAATAAGTCTAAAACAAGGGTCACTAAAGTAAAGTAAATGTATTGGCAGGACCTCAGGCCCTTTGGCAGACTCTAGGAAGAATCCACAATCTTACATCTTCCTGTTGATCAGGCTACCCATTTTCACTGCTCATGGTCTTCTTCTGTGTTCAAGCAGCAATGGCCAGTCTTCTTCCCAATATTGCAACACTCTGATGATGATCCCTCTGCCTCCTTTTTCCCATTTGAGGCCTCATGGTTACACTGGGCTTACCCAAATAATTCAGGGTATCACTATGTTAAAGCTTTTTCAGCAATCTTCAGCAGTTCTATCTGCGATGTTAATCTCCTCTTGCCATGCCATATGATATAGATACAAGTTCCAAGGAAGAGGATTGGGGCATCTTTGCAGGGCCATTATGCCACCTACATAGTTGGAAATGTTTTTAATCCCAAGATTAGTTTGGGGGAAACTAGCATTTCAATGATGTTACATCTTCCAAGGAGTGAAAACGAGGTGTCTGATTTCACTCATGTATTCAAATAGTATGGTTTGGGTAATATGTAAAAGTCTTGAGGAAACTTTTATTGAAGACCAGAATATGCAGAGCTGTGCCCTTCACTGTTACACATTTGTTGGAGCCCATAGTTACCATATAGCTCCAAATACAGGACC